GCAGAAGCACTGCCAGGGTTTGAGGATAAGCCCACTACCGTTGGAGCGGCTACCCTCGTCATGACCTTCTTGCCTCGGCAAGTTCTTGACGTGTGGCCATAATTGCCACAGTTCATACATGTGCCCCTGGCAACTCGGTCCCTCCACACCTCGTAATCTAAACTAAGTTTTACCCATGCGGGTGTTCCTTGATCGCCCTGACCCGTAGACCGGACTACCTTCTTCTTCCCGGTCCCCCTAGCCTTTTCTTTGATAGGCACCACGACTCCCCCATCCGAAGTCTCATTAGCCCCATCATGCTCTGTCTCGTTCCCAAGATCTGAGAAGTCGTCAATTTCAGTCGTCTGACTATCGTGGTCGACGAACATTAGTTGACCTTTCTTCTTCCAGTCCTCGGGAAGTCTCTTCTTCCTACCATCACCCTGACTTTGATGCGCGGACCCAAGCTTTGCCTCTATATCTAAGGCTTTCTTGCTAAAAGAGGCGAAGTTATGTTGGTCGACATAAGCCTTATCCACCAGCTTAGTCTTAACCTCTGCAGGCAGACATCTCAGGTAATCTGTGAGGAGTACCTGCTGGTCGTAGCGCACACCAGGTACCACAAGCAAATGTTCTACGATGTCTGTGAGTCACGAACATTCTTGTACCTTTTCGCACAAAGATTGTTGATCGCGTCGGTGGCCTTCTGAGCCCCTTGAGGGTCATGCCACCTATTATACACAGTCCGTACAAAGTCTTCCAATGTCTGGGTCTGGGCCCAGGCATTGAAATTATGTCCGTAGCCCTGTTGTTGCACTAACCCATTCAACCAACGTGTTGTCGATCCCTTTAAAAAGGAAGGACCAACTATGACTTCCTGCTCTGGTCTGGTGAGGTTGTGCCTCACATAGGTAGGCACAGTCCTCACCCAGGTATCCAGGTCCTCGTCCTTCTTCCTATCGCCAGAGAAGGGCTTAGGACTCGGCAAAGGAATCTTGGGCATCCACTACATAGGTTGGATCTGCCCAGGCGACTGCTGCAGTGGCTGCATGGCCACTGAGAGAGGTTGCTGCATGCCAACCTGGGCCTGTCCTGACGATGGGACTGTAGTTACCACCGTCGTGGATGGTACAGAAGAAGCTCTAAGGACCGGACCACTAACTACTAGTCCGCCTGAGAGGCATGCCATACATAGGCGAGAAGGTTTGCCCTATCGGTGACGGCGTCACTGAAGGACCCGCAACCAAAGGGGGAACTAAAGAGAATTGGGGCTGCCTCATGATTGGACGAGGTTCCTAAAGTGCAGCCAGAATTCGTTTCTGGCCTGCCACTAGTTCAACCAACAATTCCTATTGAACTACCTACGTTTCTGCCACACAAAGTAGCGAGTTACGCAGCGCTTGATCAACATGATTTAGTGTAGACTCATCTAGTTCTCCTAACCCTCTTAGTTCCTGAAGCCTAGTGCCTAACCCCACTTTTCTCAATCTTGCCCTTTCTCTCCTCTCTTCTACTTCTCTTAGTTGCCGCTGCAACTCATCTTGAAGAGCTTCTGTTTGGAGGATCTCATTATCCTCTGGCGTGAGTGGGGGTTGTTGGCTGACTTGTGAGCCAACAGACTGACATATGGAGCAGCCTGACATATGGGTACTCTGACTGATTCCTGACGAAGAGGCCTGGGAAGAGGCCTGTGACATGGTAGAGGAGGTAGCCATGGTCACACCTATGCTAGCTATACTCCTAGCCCTGGCGCTGGCCTCAGCGACTCTCGTTCTCCGCAATGCCGCTCTCTCTCTAGCTTCTCTCCGCAGTCTCCTTTCCTCGCCTAGACCTATCTCTAGGAAGGTCAAAGGCCTACTGAGAGCAGCTCTACGAGTAACCCTAAGATCCTCCACTAAGTCCTCCTCCTCACTACTAACAGCTTCACTCATGAGCTGCAGTGTGTGCAATCTAAACTAGAGTCCACATTGAATCCTACGTCAGCATGACACACAAACGGGTATGAACAATCAACTAATTGCGGTCAGCCTAAAGAGTAGTCAAGTGGTAACCAGCAATCGGTGTCGGATCCTACAGGTAAGTTCAATTATATTTTTAGATTACTCTTACACAGAATGCAATGCAGCAAGGAAGGAACTAACCTATCTGCAACTGTCTGTCAGTTGTTAACAAGTCCGTACAACTAAGTAATCAAAAATACAAATAATTACCTGTGGAGATGCATGCTTGATGGCAATTTATCTAATTAGTGCCACAGCGAACTATTACCGGAATCCCCCCTGTCTCCCTGTATCCTTCTTGAGTTGTCACTTTGTGTCAACGCCCTGAGCATCTGGTTGAGCGCCGTGTCTGAAGGTCTGCAATCAGGCACACCCATGTGCCCCAAGTCTATGCCGAACCTGCCAGCCCCTGCACTTTATTTACCCTCGCATGCAACGAGCCTTACACCCGGTTTGATCTGGCTGATCAAGAGGCAGTTTAAGGACAGCCCCCAAGGTCCTCAAGAATTATTTAACATCGTAGACAGGACGACGATCACAGCCAGAATCAACACCGAGTCCCCGCCAGAAATATTTAAAGACGGTCTGGTAAGCGTCTGTTCAAAGGGCTGGCATGCCCTGCATGACCTCTATTGCGCGGCAGCAGAACCAAGGACTTGCGGCAAAGCATGCGTATACTAGTACCAGCGGGTTGGCATGGTGACCGTGACCCGAGTGCTTCGTTCAGGGCCCTTCAGAGGCATCGCGCCCGTCTCCCACCAGCTTGCTGCCCAGGAAGAATGTTGACTATCAAGGTTGAGCGCTCGCGACACCTCACATTGAGAGGACTCTCAAGACAGAACTCGCTTCCTCACGATAAGAAGTAATGGAGAGGGTAGATAAGGAAAAGAGCAACGTACCTCATAATGCTGCCCCCAACCACAGATTTCTCACTGGCAACCTGATGTGCATTTATGATGATCGGTCTTTGCCTCGGCACAACCAACAGCAGAATGCAGTTCCACCTCGGCTTACATGCCACATCAGAGAGCTCTCATCATCCAGCGTACACCCCTAATGTCACCACATAGCTTCCTGGAGCGCCCACACCACCCTGGGCCGCCTTACATTCAACGCCCAAGCCTTATCACTGCCCTACACTTCATGCGAAGCACCAAACAGTTATTGCGAAGAATCAATGAAGCGCAGTTTGAACCAGCTCCGATACCAAATTGCAAGGAAAATGAGCAATGGCGAGATGACAATGTCCAGAATGCACAATCACATTGAAGGCCTGATAGTATCACAGTGTCCAGAAAGCAGAAATGCACCAATATAACACCAATGAAGAATTGTAACACTGAAAACCAATGTCAATGAGAGCTTGCTCTCGCCACCACCAACACGAGTGTCCAGGCCCTATCTCCCTACTTGGCGCTCGGCGCCCAG